ACACCTAAATGCTAATTCCAGCACTGAATGAACAAAAAATTTTAATGCTCTAATGTTTTTGGCCATCTTTTAAAGGCCCTTTTCAGGAATGTATAAAACACACAGAAAAAACAGTTCTCTCATTTGAAAACTTCTAACCGTCGAATACAGCTGTGTTCCAAATTTTTAAATATTTAAACAATGTACTGTATGATATAAAAATCGTTACGATGTGTAATTATTTTTCATCTTTCTGCTTTGTAAAAGAAAACAATTTCCACATCGTTTACATTGCGCTAATTTTTACAACACTATAATAATAATTTATGTATAGCTTTATTTAAAAATAATTATTTTTATGTTGTAAAAGTACATTGTACAGTACATTGTTTAAATATTTAAAAATTTGGAACACAGCTGTATTCGACAGTTAGAAGTTTTCAAATGATAGAACTGTTTTTCCTGTGTGTTTTATACATTCCTGAGGAGGGCCTCTAAAAGATGGCCGAAAACGTTCGAGCATTAAAATATTTTGTTCATTCAGTGCTGGAATTAGCATTTAGGTGTTAATTGTTGTGTTTAGTATATAGTTCCTGTTAACTTGTGCTATTTTTTTGTCTGTAAAATTTGTTATAAATTTTAAGAATATTTGTAAACTCATATTTTTTAGCAGTTTGATTTTAGCAAAAGTTTAGAAATTAAAATAAAATGTAATGTGTAGTTAAATATTTAATATTTAGTAATATTATATTGTTGTTATAGCTGGTGCCAGCGAAAAAATTGGTTGGGCTTTTGGACTTGGATTAGAACGTTTGGCAATGAAATTATATAGTATTCCTGATATTCGTTTATTTTGGAGTACCGATTCTGGATTTTTATCTCAGTTTCAAGTTCCTTTTGATACCTCTGTAACATACAAAGTATTTATTTTTTCATAAAATCTTTTTTTATATTCTACATATAATTTATGTATACTAAATATATTTTAAAGCAAAATTGTAATGTTGCAAATTTATAAATTGCATTACTAATATTTACTCATTTCTAAACTGCACTTTTATAAAATACTTACTCAAAAACCTTTTAATGCAGTATATGCAGTTACATATACTGCCTTAACAATGAAAGAACTGCAGAAAAAACGGTTAGACATTTCTTCGTATTAGAATATTTTTTCTGAAGATCATTTGAAATGATCGAAAATGTTAGAATAAAGTTACATATATTGCATTAAGAGATTTTTGAGTGAGTATTGCATTACTAATCTTTACTATTAAGTTACAAATCAATAAGTAAGATTTCAGAACAAAATATGTTAGATAGATTATATAATTTTTTTTCTTTGAAATTTAATTCAATATATAGGGTGTTCACAAAGTCCATGAAACATTACAAATGTCTGTATTTTTGTAAGGAGACATAGACTTGTGCTCGAATGCCCACAAAATGAAAAACATACTCAATGAATTATGTTTTCACATCTTACAAAGGTTCATTGTACCTTTGGTCACACAGCACACATCTATCCTATAGTCCATTTTTCTCCATACATTACAAATGTACTTATATTTTTTTTATATGCTTATATTACAAATGTACTTATAAATATACCACTCACCAAACCATCACCAGTTCATGTCACAAAAAAAGCAAAATTCTTACAAACATTTTTGTCTATGTGAAATAGACAATCTTCAGGTCTCAATAATATTGAACAAATGGCTAGTAAAATAGAACGTTTTTTTCAAAAGTTCAGATTGATTGCATAATTCAAATATGTTGCATCAAAATTTATGTAATATTCGGGATATAATTTCAAAATATGTAAAAAATTTAAATGATATCTGAATAAATAATCAATTAATTTCATGTAAATTATTATGATGGAAATATCCTCCATAATTTAAATTATCCTTAATGCAAGTTTTTGTCAGTGGAATTTAGTTCAAAAATGGCACGTCATGCTGTGGATAGTGTGTCTGTTTCCTTGAAGTTAATACCAACTCCCTGTTTAATTGCCCAATAAATCTCAAGTGATTTGAGGTATTTCAGTTGTGCCTTATCCGATACTCTGTGTAATCTCTGTGTAACAATTTACCATTTTGCAGTTCAATGCATACTTCCTCATTACCTGCATACATCGATAATGCCATAGTAGTCAGCTTTTTTCTTATGGAATATTCATGTTTTTTCATCCTCATGGCAAGACCTGTTGCTGTTGCTCCAATGTATGTTAATGAGCAGTTAATTCAGTTGTCATGGAGAGGTACCGTATAAACCCCTGGAGAGTATGAGTCATCTGTATGATTTTTATCATTTCTGATGAGAGAGAGGATTGTTGGAGAGCATCAATGTGTTACATGCACTTTAGTGGTTTTTGCAATTTCTCTATATATATTAGAAAGTGTTTCATTGAATGTGATAACTTTCATTTGTTTGTCTTGCAGAATAATCCTCTCCCTCTTATTTATATATTGTTTTATGAGATGTTTGACCAAAGAGGGCTTTTTATGAGACGTTTGACTGGTGATGGTTTGGTGAGTGAGATATTTACAATTACCCAGTTTTTGAGATATAATGTACTTATATTTTTATTTTTTTATATCCTTTGATATGCTCCATACCCAACCCAGCATAGGTTGGGTATGGAGCATATCACAGGTGTCATTGCCATAATTACCCCAATTGTGGTAATGGCAGCTGTGATGTGGGTTTCAGATTCTGGATGTCTTGTGGTAGGAACAGTATGCATACTCTTTCCTTCACATAACCCCACAAAAAGAAGTTGCATACAGTCAAGTCTGATGACCTGGATGGCCAGCATGTGAGTACCTGGTCAAGTGCTGACACATGGATAATCTAACAATGTGACAATTCTCAAAACATAGTAACGTAATACAGTGGAACCCCGGTTAACGAACGTCCTGGTTAACGACCAAATCGGTTAACGAACTTTTATTTTGCAAAAATTTTGTCTCGGATAACGAACAAAATTCAGATAACGAACGTAACGGTATTTTGTGTCAAATTTTAGTTGGTGTTAGGCACGCGCGAGTTAAGCATTGCTTTTCCGAGTGTTTGTACTATACTTCTTTTTTCAGTTTTGTGATTTATATATTTAATCAATATGGTATCCAAGAAAGAAAAAAGTCATAGTGGCAATAGAAAACGACAATGCGCTATCGCATTTGAGAAAAATTTTGATTAAAAGAATAAGACAATCAACTTTAGATCAATTTCTTGTTCCTTACTGAAAGAGTTTGTTTGTTTGTTAAGTTATGGCAACGCAACACTTGGGCGATCTGCCTAGGGGGAATGCTTTCTGGAAGGTGTTTTTAAGGAAAACTGGCCCCTATTTAGGCATTACAGACGTGGAGAAAACCCAGAAAACTCCATGTGGTCACCCCATCTGAGCAAGGTGCAAACCCGTGAACGAACTCCCCGTGTTTAAGGTATGAAGACCACTTAGCCATTGGTGGTTTTTTTTTTTTACCGAAAGAGACTTCGACTCGAATAATCTTCCGATGAAGTGCTACCCGTTATTTTTTTTTGGAGGGGATTCCCCTTCTAAGCATTAAGGTTCGTATATCTCCACTTTTCTGCCACCAACTACAACAAACGAAGGTATGTACAGTGCTATTTTATTAAACAAAGTTTACATGTTTGTTGCTGTAATGATAGATACTACGTTTTCCCACATTTTCATCAAAGAAAATTACTGTATATTACAAATTAAATCACAAAAATTTCGGAGACTAGAATGGATTAATTGCATTTGCATTAATTTCTATGGAAAAAATTGCTTTGGTTAACGAACAATTCAGTTAACAAACGGAGTCGCGGAACGGATTAAGTTCGTTAACCGGGGTTCTACTGTATAATTCTCATGTCTCTCTCTCTCTCCTCAACCAATGGTTGGTGGGCAAACATGGATGTGTGCAGTATCATAGTTTTTTCTTCGCTTAGCTAGCTGTTTTATCTGTTGGTAAGACCTTTTCTGTAATAACTCGTCAAGATATTTTACTCTGGGTCTTTCACGTCCCCTCTATCTTTCCTTCCAAGAAAACATTCATCCATTCCAAGTGTCAAATTAGGTGGCCAATCATGTAATTTCTCCTTTTCTCTATCATTGTCAAAATCTGTCTCTTCTCTGTTGCCTCCTTTAAAACATCCTCGTTCCTCTTTCTCTCCATCCACGACACTCCATTCTTCGTCACTACCACATCTCAAGGGTCTCCAGTTTTCTTTTCTCTGCTATTTGGAGTGTCCATATCTCTGAACTGTACAATGCTATGCTCCAGATGAAACTCTTAATGAATCGTTTCCTAACGTCATTTGATATATTTTTTGATGTTAAAATCTGTCGTTTTCTATAGAGTTTTGCTTGGGCTATTCTTGCTGTAACATCTCTTCCATTCCTTCCGCCTGAGGTAATTATGCTTCCTAGGTACGTGAACTCATTGACTTCTGCTATTTTTTCACCGTCCAAATAGACATTCATTTCTTCTTGTTCCTTTTATTTTTTTTTTTATATCTCATTATCTTTGTTTTTTTCTTATTTATTCTCATCTCACATTGTTTAAATTTTCAAGAGCTATCTGTAGATCATCCACGTCCTCTGCTATCATTGTGATGTTGTCAGCAAATCTTATTGTGCTGTACAACTTTCCATTCACTTTTATATTTTTTGTATTAGTAACATAGAATTCTTTCATTGCCTCTTCTATGTATATGTTGAAGAATAGTGGTGATAGTCCACAACCTTATCTTACTCCTTTCATTCGGTTTCTTCTTCTCTTCCTATAACCACAGTTTGATTCTTGTATATCTGGTGTAGTATTTGCCTATCCCTGTAGTCTACCTTCAGGTTCCTCAGTGATCTGAACATTTTGTTCCAGTCTACATTGTAAAAAGCCTTCTCTATGTCTATAAATGCTATGAGTGAGTGCCTGCCTTTTTACCCAAATAAGCTGTTCGATGAGCATCCTTAGGCTTAGCATAGCTTCTCGTATACCTTTGTTTCATGTGAAACCAAATTGGTCTTCTGATAGGTTTTCTTCTACTTTTCTTTCTATCTTTCGATAGATTATTCCACAGAGAATTTTTGATATGTGTGAGACTAGACTTAGTGTCCTATGATCCTCACATTTCTGTGCTCCTTTCTTCTTTGGAATCAGAACCATTATGATCTTTTCAAAATCTTTTGGCACTTGGCCAGTTATATACATTTCATTGATGAGTCTGTACAGATCATTTTTAGTGTTTTCTCCTAGGGCCATTATAAGTTCTACGGGTATCTGGTCTGCACCAGGTGCCTTGCCCTTTCTCATTCCCTTCAGTGTCTTATCAAATTCACATTTTAAGGTTGATGGTCCCAAATCATTTGCATCAACCAGTTTCTCCTCTTCAATCAGTGACTCGTCCAACTTGTCCCCTTTGTAAAGTTTTTCAATGTATTCCTTCCATCGTTGTGCAATTTGTTTTTTCTCAATTAGGATATTTCCCTGTTTATCCATGAATGTACTGTACCTGTATATTTCTTTCCCTCACTAAACTGTCTTTTTACCTGCCTATACACCTATATTTCCTTTTTTTCATATTCTCATCTATTTCCTTACATGCTATGTTAGTCCATTCTTCCTTTGCTTTTTTTCATTTCTCTGTTAATTAAGTTCCTGTTCTGTAGTTTTCCTGGTTGTGTGCTATTTTGTAAAGCCTTCTCTGCTCCATCATTTCCAGTATTTCTGTTGTAATCCATGGTTTGTAAACTATTCTGCTTTCTTTACCAATACATTTATCTGTAGCTTTTATGATTCCTGTTTTGATATTATTCCATTTCAAATCTATGTCATTGTTTGTTACCTTATGTAAGTTTGTCAACTCAAGCATTACTGTTTGCCTGAATTCCTTCTGAGCATTGGTGTCTTTTCTTAATTTTTGTATGTTCTATCTTCTGTACAGTTTTATCATTTTGTTCTTTTTAAGGTGTAGGTGGCTCTTCATTAATACCAGATTGTGGTCTGAGTCAACATCTGCACCAGGATAACTCTTGCTCACTTTCACTTGGTTTCTGTACCTCTGTTGTAAAGTACTATATTATTTTTCCAACTTTTCCAACGATTATCGACATGACTGTGTGCCGGATATAGCCGTTCCCTAACGAGTACTTTACACGGATTCGCGTTAGTGTGCCAGGCCTGGACTTTTAGCGTGCACCGAATTAAATAATGACCAAGTTTGTCAGTTGTAAAATCCTATATTATTTTTCCAACTTTTCCAACGATTATCGACATGACTGTGTGCCGGAAATAGCAGTTCCCTAACGAGTACTTTACGCGGATTTGCGTTAGTGTGCCAAGCCTGGACTTTGTCATTATTTAATTTGGTGCACGCTTAAAGTTATTCAAAAACAATCTAATATTTAATAAAAATTCTAGTAATAACTATATACAAAATTTTGTAAAAAATCAAATAACAATTTATCCAACGTAAATCAATAAGAATCAACCCGACAAAACTCAAATCAATCTATTTTCTAACTTAACTCTATTCCCCTTTGGAATTTGACAAAAAATTCAAAGACTTAACTTAGATACAATAATTCTTATGAATTAAAGGTCCTAATCGTCATCTCAATATACTAGGAACTTTTTTCCTCAACTCTCAAGACTTTCTCTAATCTTCGATCCACAAATCGGATAACTTCAAAATTGCCTTGGAACTACTTTATCCTATCGGACACCTCTCTCTCGTTTGCTGCTACGAAGCTCACCACACTCGTTGCTAACAGAAGCTCACCTTAGTCATCTTCATTTAAGGTTCGGTCTTTATGCTGTGAGGTGATGTCACAATTCTGAGTGAGATCACTCCCCTCATTTACATACTTATTTGCTAACAATAAAAACTTTGTTTGTCTGTTAGCCTATTTTTCGACAATACTCGCTAACCTTTTACATTATTCTTTTTGACAATTTTTGGGATGTTTTTATTCTTTAAGGTTTAGCAAGTTTCTAAGTTGTGCTTGTGGGGTCCACTCCCTCCCCTTTTCTCGGTGCGGACTTACTTTTTTCCGTTCGGGAACGCAAGTGTGCNTATTTTTTTCCACTCGGGAACGCAAGTGTGCGTGAGTTTTTTTCTATGGCGCTTTTCTCTCGTAGGTAGTTGGTTTCTCTTCTATTTTTTAAGTTTCTAAGGTGAATGGTGAGGAAATCCTCGTCCTAACAAAACATAAGCCCCAAACAAAAATATAATAAAAAAGCAAAATAAAAGTAAATAAAAATAATGCTCGGACTTGGTTCCTTACACTGTCACACATGGATGTAATCAATTTGGAACCGTTCTGTATCTCTTGGTTTAGTCCAAGTATATCTTCTCTGGCTGCTTGAACAAGGTGTTAGATACAATGAGATCATGACTTCTGCAAAACTCTACTAGTCTGGTTCCCCTGGTGTTTCTTCTTCCTAATCCAAAGTTATCAACGATATTGTCTTCCTTGCCTTCTCTGACAATTGCATTCCAGTCTCCCAGATTTGCATGTAACAATTCATAATTTAGTANGTACAGTACATTGTTTAAATATTTAAAAATTTGGAACACAGCTGTATTTGACGGTTAGAAGTTTTCAAATGATAGAACTGTTTTTCCTGTGTGTTTTATACATTCCTGAGGAGGGCCTCTAAAAGATGGCCAAAAACATTTGAGCATTAAAATATTTTGTTCATTCAGTGTTGGAATTAGCATTTAGGTGTTAATTGTTGTGTTTAGTGTATAGTTCCTGTTAACTTGTGCTAGTATTTTGTCTGTAAAATTTGTTATAAATTATAAGGATATTTGTAAACTCATATTTTTTAGTAGTTTGTCCTTCTTCACAGAAATAACAGTTCTATCATTTGAAAACGTCAAGAAGTTTTCAAATGATAGAACTGTTTTTCCTGTGTGTTTTATACATTCCTGAGGAGGGCCTCTAAAAGATGGCCGAAAACGTTCGAGCATTAAA